AAACTCTGGGAATAGTGGATGGGAGGGGTCATTAGCTATAGTCAGTGCTTTGCTCTGAGTGCTCAGCACCTGTAGTGTCTTCAGAAAGTATTCATACCCCTTGACTGATTCCACATTTTGCTGTGTTACAGCATAAATTCAAAATGGATTAAATAGTTTTTTTTTCACTCACCCAGCTACACAAAATACAGCATAATGACAAAGTGAAAACATGTTTTTAGAAATGTTTGCGAATTTGCACCCGAATCAATACTTTGTAGAAGCAGCTTTGGCGCCAATTGCAGCTTTGAGTCATCTTGGGTATGTCCGTATCAACTTTGCACATCTGGATTTGGGGTTTTTTCTCCCATTCTTCCTTGCAGATTTTCTCAAGCTCTGTTAAGCTAGATGGGGAGCGGCAGTGAACAGCAATCTTCAAGTCTTTCCACAGATTTTCAATGAGATTCATGTCTGGGATATGGATGGGCCACTCAAGGACTTTCATGTTCTGAAGCCATTCCAGCGTTACTTTGGCTGTTTCCATTGATCTGAATACTCATGTAAATAAGGTATTTCTGTTTTTTTATTTGTAATAAATTAGCGAAAATATCTATAAACTTGTTTTTGCTTTGTCATTATGGGGTATTGTGTGTAGATTGATGAGGGGGAAAAAAAACAATTTATCAATTTTAGAATAAGGCTGTAACATAACAAAACGTAGAAAAAGTCAAGGGGTCTGAAAACACTATAGCTGGAATGAAGGGAAATACCACTGACTGAGAAAATGGATTTAATCCACCAGAGCAGAAGTTTATTGTTATGGACAAAGACTTGTGGGAAACAGCATACATCAAAACAGCTTTTAAAAATGGTATGTTGTTAAACCAGTGGAGAAATGAAATGTTTTAACATTAACATTGACAAGCTGATATTGTATACAATCCATTGGGTCTTTAGGTTACAGTATACTAAAAAGGGTCATCTTAAACGCAAATCCACACAGTACGATATTTACACGATCATTAAGTCTCATTCCTAATCATAACAGATCAGCTGCTGGTCATTCTGAAATAACCTCTGTCTCAAGTTCTTCTCTCCGCTAGCCTTTAAACGGTAAGGCTAATACATGACAGTCAGTCTGGCCCCTGGTAGATACATGTGCAACGACAACTAAAAGTCCTAATATAATACAGTTTCTCCCCAACCAGAAGCAGATTATTCTCCTTCATCCTCCTTGACCTTCTCCAGAGATGTTAGATCGGGTTCAAGTCCGGGCTCTGGCTGGGCCAATCAAGGACATTCAGAGACTTGTCCCGAAGCCACTCCTGCGTTTTCTTGGCTGTGTGCTTAGGGTACTTGTCCTGTTGGAAGGTGAACCTTCGCCCCAGTCTGAGGTCCTGAGTGCTCAGGAGCAGGTTTTCATCAAGGATCTCTCTGTACTTTGCTCCGTTCAGCTTTCCCTCAATCCTGACTAGTCTCCAAGTCCCTGCCGCTGAAAAACATCCCCCCAGCATGATGCTGCTAACACAATGCTTCACCGTAGGGATGGTATTGGCCAGGTGATGAGCGGTGCCTGGTTTCCTCCAGATGTGATGTTTGGCATTCAGGCCAAAGAGTTCAATCTTGGTTTCCTCAGACCACAGAATCTTGTTTAGGTGCCTTTTGGCAAACTCCAAGCGGGCTGTCATGTGCCTTTTACTGAGGAGGGCTTCTGTCTGGCCACTCTACCATAAAGGCCTGATTGGTGGAGTGCTGCAGAGATGGTTGTCCTTCTGGAAGGTTCTCCCATCTCCACAGAGGAACTCTGGAGCTCTGTCAGAGGGACCATCAGGTTCTTGGGCATCTCCCTGACCAAGGCCCTTCTCCCCCGATTGCTCAGTTTGGCCAGGCAGCCAGCTCTAGGAAGAGTCTTGGTGGTTCCAAACTTTTTCCATTTAAGAATGATGGAGGCCTCTGTGTTTTGGGGACCTTCAATGCTGCAGAATTTGTTTTGATACCCTTCCCCAGATCTGAGCCTCGACGCTCTATGGGCAATTCCATCGACCTCATGGCTTAGTTTTTGCTCTGACATGCACTGTCAACTGTGGGACCTTATATAGACAGGTGTGTGCCTTTCCAAATCATGTCCAATCAATTGAATTTACCACAGGTGGACTCCAATCAAGTTGTAGAAACATCTCAAGGATGATCAATGGCAAAGGGTCTGAATACTTATGTATATAAGGTATTTGCTTTTTATGTTTAATAAATGTGCAACATTTTCTAAAAACCTGTTTTCGCTTTGTCATTATGGGATATTGTGTATAGATTGAGGGTTTTTATTTATTTAATCCATTTTAGAATAAGGCTGTAACGTAACAAAATGTCAAAAAAGTCAAGGGGTCTGAATAATTTCTGAATGCACTGTATATAAACTCAGCAAAAAAAGAAACGTCCCTTTTTCAGGACCCTGTCTTTCAAAGAATTTGTAAAATTCCAAATACCTTCACAGATCTTCATTGTAAAGGGTTTCCCATGCTTGTTCAATGATTTAATTAAAAACAATTTTAAAAAGCATTTTGCTACACCCGCTATAACATCTGCTAAACACGTGAATGTGACAAATACAATTTTATTCTATTTGAACCATAAACAATTAATGAACATGCACCTGTGGAACGGTCGTTAAGACACTAACAGCTTACAGACGGTAGGCAATTAAGGTCACAGTTATGAAAAGTTAGGACACTAAAGAGGCCTTTCTACTGACTCTGAAAAACACCAAAATAAATATGCCCAGGGTCCCTGCTCATCTGTGTGAATGTGCCTTAGGCATGCTGCAAGGAGGCATGAGGACTGCAGATGTGGCCAGGGCAAGAAATTGCAATGTCCGTACTGTGAGACGCCTAAGACAGCGCTACAGGGAGACAGGACGGACAGCTGATCATCCTCGCAGTGGCAGACCACGTGTAACAACACCTGTACAGGATCGGTACATCGGAACATCACACCTGTGGGACAGGTACAGGATGGCAACAATAACTGACCGAGTTACACCAGGAACGCACAATCCCTCCATCAGTGCTCAGACTGTTCGCAATAGGCTGAGAGAAGCTGGACTGAGGGCTTGTAGGCCTGTTGTGTCACAGCATCATTGGACTGAGCTTGTTGTCATTGCAGGCAATCTCAACGCTGTGCGTTACAGAGAAGACATAATTTTCCCTCATGTGGTATCCTTCCTGCAGGCTCATCCTGACATGACCCTCCAGCATGACAATGCCACCAGCCATACTGCTCGTTCTGTGCGTGATTTCCTGCAAGACAGGAATGTCAGTGTTCTGCCATGGCCAGCAAAGAGCCCGGATCTCAATCCCATTGAGCATGTCTGGGACCTGTTGGATCGGAGGGTGAGGGCTAGGGCCATTCCCCCCAGAAATGTCCGGGAACTTGCAGGTGCCTTGGTGGAAGAGTGGGGTAACATCTCACAGCAAGAACTGGCAAATCTGGTGCCGTCCATGAGGAGGAGATGCACTGCAGTACTTAATGCAGCTGGTGGCCACACCAAATACTGACTGTTAGTTTTGTCCCCTTTGTTCAGGGACACATTATTCCATTTCTGTTAGTCACATGTCTGTGGAACTTGTTCAGTTTATGTCTCAGTTGTTGAATCTTATGTTCATACAAATATTTACACATGTTAAGTTTGCTGAAAATAAACGCAGTTGACAGTGAGAGGACGTTTTCTTTTTTTGCTGAGTTTATATACTGTATATATATTTTCTACTGCTCGACTAAAAAAAGTATTGGTCGACCAACAGCCTATCGACCAGTCGAATAATTGGTGTCAGCCCTAGTGTGAATACTAATGTAAATGAGATATTTCTGTATTTAATTCTCAATAAATTAGCAAAAATGTCTAAACATATTTTCACTTTGTCATTATGGGGTATTGTGTGTAGACTCTAAAATGTGGAATAAGTCAAGAAGTATGAATACTTTCTGAAGGCACTGTACATGTTACTAAGCTGCTTTTTGAGGTTTACTAACTATCTTGCTGCCCATATTTACTGCTTTGGACAGTTTTGTCCTATTCTTGGCACTCAGGTTTCCATACCATATGGTCATGATGAAGCAAACAGTACTTTCTACCAGACTTTTGTACACCATTTCAAGAATGTGCTGGCTCACACCAACACTGTTAAATTCCTGAGCAGATAAAAACGTTGCCTTTGCTTCTTAAAAATATAGTATGTTCACAGTAAAATTCAGAGTTGTCAAGAAATGTATGTGCCTTTTTAAAACTGTCAACCAGCTGAACAGGTTGATCACCGACTGACTATTCAATGTCTTCTGAGGTTCTGGATTCAACTAGAGCTTGAAGCTCATAACTGGAACATGGCCGATGACAGGCTTGATGTCAGGATTAAACAAATGGTTTAACCAGTGCACTCCACCCGCTGCTCTGTGTCCTTAGAGGGTGGGAACCCTGCGATATGCTGAGCTCGTGTTGTTTTTGCATTTCCTGTTCCCATTCCCTCGAGCAAACGTTCACCTTGTCAGAGAGTTTCCCTATGGGGTTTAAAACCACATGGATCCTGGATATTATTTGTCACGAGCTCATCTATCTACTGTATATGTGTGTGCAGAGTGTCTGTCAAAGTAAGATTAGGTAGAGACTATTTTCCCATGTCTTCCTGTTATAATTTACTATAGGATGACATGCTGAAATAAAAACACTATCTGTATGTCAACAAATGTTGTTGATTTATGCTGCTGATGTTTGGGATTAGAAGGGATTTTCACACTGGTTTTCACTGTGATATCATGAGAGTGATTCCAAATGGTAGCTACTGTGCTTGGTAAAGCAGGAGAAAAGCATTTTCAGGCAGAAACCACAAAGGACAATTTATAGATAGATAGATAAAATAATATGTTCCCATTTCGTGCCTTCTGAACTCAGCCCTGGTCTGCTCTTTGGCTAGCAGGAGCCTGTCTGACCTAGGGTGACTATCCCTGAGGGGTTTGCCTGGGACGGAGGTGCCATGCCACAGGCTGCAGACATGATCAATGTGGCCTTCCTGACCGACTCGGAGCGGGAGCTGATCCTGGAGGTGCTGCGGAGGGACGAGGAGCTGAGGCAGGCTGAGGAGCACCGTGTCCGGTGAGAACTCCCCTTCCCGGCTGCATCTCAATATTCCTAAAGTGGCTTCCTCCTGCCCTTGTCTCATTTCCTTAATCGGATCTGAAAAGACAGGACAGATGAAAACAATACAGTGGATGGCTGGTGGGAATTTAGCATTCACCTCATCAGCTCAGTATTTCACAAGTGCAGATGGAGGAAGTCACTAGACTTTCGACATCCAGTTAGGCAAAGATGTCAACACAGACACCAACAGGCAAGGGTCTAACCAATGTCTCCCCCTCCCCCATTGTTTCAGGAAGCTGAAGACGGAGCTGCTGGACATAAAGAGGAAAGGGGCCAAGCGTAGCAGTGGGAGGTACAGTGAGCACAGCTGCGGCCGCTGCCAGGAACCACTGGGTCCACTGTCTGCCGGCTCCAGCCAGTGTAGGGCATGTAAATACCAAGTGTGCCACAACTGCTGCTCAGTGCGCCCCAATGGATCCTGGGTGTGCAGTGTGTGTGCTAAAGAGGCGTAAGAATCAATTTTTCTGTACTGTACATCACCCCACCCTGTCGTATAGCATCTCCATAGCGATGATCCCTGTGTTTGCTGTATCTATATGCAAAGTGTGGTGTTATTATTAGTTTCTAAGTCTCTCACTGTACAACGCCCACGAGGAGACGATAATATTTTCAGCAGGTATACATTGTGTGTGAGCCGCGATGCACGCTATGCATATCTGTTGCATTCTAAAGTCATGTAAAAAAATAAAAATAGGGCAGCGTTTTTGCACTGTCAGCATGTCACCCTTAGAGTTGTGGTCCATACATTTGATTATGTTTTAACGTGGTGGTAATGTGTGGTATTATTTTCTCCAGTGATCTGAAGAAGTGCACTGGAGACTGGTTCTGTGACCAGCGAGTCAACCGCTTCTCCACTATCACTGGACACGACATAGTGAGAAATTCCCTCAAAAAGAGGCCCCCATGTGAGTCCAGGAAACACCAAGTTGTGGGCAACGCTCTGTTCAATTGGAAACTATAATCAACTCTCACTGCTGGTGCAGAATGGAATGTCATTGTCAGTGTTGTGTCAGCATAGGAATTTGTCCTATTTTCTCTACTCAATTTCAATATTGAATGTAAGAAGCTCCATTACTGCATAACTTTTGTTCATGTACTTTTTAAATTGCACTTCCCAGTAATATATTCCCTATCTGAATGAATGAAGCCACTGTCAGCATATTACCAGTTGCCTGTCATGCTAAAGCTCGGTATTCTGTTTTAGTGAGGGAGAACATGGGAGAGCTCCTGTTGAAGAGTACAGAGTTGAACCCCAGCCAGCCCCCCACCCCTGTTCCCCGACCCAGACTGAGGGACCTAGCAGCCTCCAACAAGGAGTGAGTCCTATTTCCATCTGGGGGGACAACACAGGCTTTACAATCAATAGTGTGATGCAGTTACTGTAATATGTGGATGGAGTTTCAAGTCAACATATAACATTTTGACACTGTTATTTCGACAATCTCAGTCTGCTAGACGAAGCCTCAGAAGAATCAGTGGGAGTTAAGACCAAGGAGCAGCAGGAGCAACAGCAGCGCAGGGACACTGAGTCTGCAGAGAAAGCCAGCCTGAACAGTGTCATGACAGAGACTGAGTCCTCTCTTGGGACTCCTCTCTTACCAAGGTAAGTCTACATCCAAACAAATAGGCCTATAGCATTAGCGCTACATGCTAACAAAACTGCTATTGGGATGTTTGCTCATTATGAATGGTGTTTATGATCCAGGAAGGAGGAGAGCACAGGTCAGTCCAGTCCAACAGGGTCCATTATGAATGTTCTAGTCAAAGCAGACCACATCAGTAGCCACAGCTCCACCTCAGACGCAGACACGGTGAGGAGACCGTTTACCCATCAATCAGGTGTTGGGGTCAATTCCATTTCAATGCAGTCAGTCAGTCAAGTCGGCAAGTGAAAAGGACACATGAAAAATAATGGAATTGACCCTAACCCTGTATTAGTCCTCATGTCTCCAGCCAATACATATTATACTGTCACACCTGACTGTAACCCTTGTCTCTTTCCATAGTCTTCCGTAGTGAATTGTCGTAGTGTTAGTCCCTGCACAGGGTCTGTCGCATTGGAAGATGGCGGCGTGTTCAAGAAGAGCATCAGACGAGTTCAGAAACCCTCCGGTGAGACTCTTGTGTGTCTGTCCTCTCAGTAGCCCTGACTCCCAAACTCTATTCAAATATTGTTGTTTTTAAGGGCTTCCGGCCTGCTTGAGTTAACGAAGACATGCTCCATTTAATGTGTCTCCATGGGTTTCACTCAGAATTCACGTCTGTGCTGGACCTGCGTGAGGAGGGGGCTGAAGCATCAGAGGGCTTTATGGGTGACAGGAGCAAGTCTGTGCCTGGGCTCAATGTGCTGGTGAGCAGTAACCCTTCCTCATTACAGACTCTAAAGCATAATGCTTCACTATACTATAAAATACTTTCTTATAGTGCTAGTATTGAAGAGAAATGCAGTTGCGTTGTATTTTTCATGATTTGAAATTGTTTGCTGCGCTTGCAGGATGACGAGGAGGATGATGAAGATATTGATAACTTGGTGAGCATCCATAGAAAGGTGGCCTCAAGTACCTCAAATCTTCGCGGCTCCAAGGTAAATGCATGCGATTCTCACTTATCCTATTTTCAAAGGTTCTAGTTAGTGTGTGATGCTATTTTTAGAGTTCCTCAAGATATTTCTCGAACCAGAACTTTGAGACAATTCAGTATATCCTGGTTCGTGTTGTGAACTGCTGCCTAATTAAGTTACCATGGCAACAAAAGCTCACGCTCAGATTTGCTTCAGGGCATGCAAATCTGAGTCTGACCTTCATTGTCACCTTCCTCATTTGTATGCTTTCCAGGAAGTTCATGTTACTTGATTGGATACTCTACATTTACCTTTCTCGTCAACATTTTTGCTCATTTTGAATTCCAGGTAGTCAATATCAATGCATTCAAACCAACTACTAACATAATTATGTCTGTCTGTCTGTGTCCACCACAGAGCACACTGGGCAGTCTGATGAGTATTTACAGTGAGGCAGGAGATTATGACAGCGTGGAGGTGAGCGGGGACATAGTGTTCTCTATCAGCTACGATGACACCACCCAGAGCCTGGCCGTCCTCATCAAGGAGTGTCACTCGCTGGCCCATGGGGACGCCAGACGCCAGCACTCAAACCCGTGAGTGTCCCCTCAGGACTAGGGTCTAGTAGTTATCTCAGTAGGAAATGATGGGTGCATCTCAATAATGTTTCCTCTCCTTCATATCCCCACATCTGAAGACACAGGGTGGATGAAAGTCATGGTGGATGCCGATCTGGAATTTTCTTTCAACAAAGCTGTTTTACACTATTCAGATGCATTCTATCATGTCATTGCCAACAGTGATAGTATCCCCCACTCCTTCAAGTGAGACCAACACTCTATTCTACTGTAGGTTTCAATTAGTCTCGTCATGTTTTCATGATGACAGTAGATGAGAAGCGCTGTAGAGAATGATTCCCAATAATCCTGTTGTTTACTCTAGACACACACTTCAGTGCTATTACTGTATGACATAACGTAGATCAGGGTTCCCTAACTGGCGGCCCGCAGACCAAATTTGGCCCGCGGGTGGTTTTATTTGGACCCCCAAGTTTTCTGAGCAACTTTTATTTACTTATTTTGTTAGACATAATACACAAAAAAAAAACACCAGGAAATCAGCTCCAAGTGATTTTAATTTAAGAAATCTGTTCCCAATTATTCCCATGCATAATAGAGATATATGTGATCATATAAAAATGTAAGCAAGGTTTGAAATTATTATGTTTTAGTCAAACATTATCTGTTTGGGCTTCTTGCGGTCAATTTGCCATCTACAAATTATTTGTAATTATGTACCGGCCCCCCGACCATCCGCTTAAGAGAAAATCGTCCCGCAGATGAATCTAGTTGATGATCCCTGATGTAGATCAGCTTAGATAAGACCCTGTCCTGTTTACAAAATGTTTGATGTGCCCAGAGGTCATTATCAGAGTTCCAAAGGAAGAATTGTGAAGGTTACATTTAACGGAAGAAAAATACGAATTTGTAGTTTGGAAATGTAGGCACTAATTGTTTTGTAGTCAACATATACTGAACAAAAATATAAACGCAACAATTTCAAAGAGTTTACTGAGTTAAAGTTCATATGAGGAAATCAGTCAGTTGAAATAAATTCATTAGGCCCTAATCTATGGATCTCACATGACTGGGAATACAGATATGCATCTGTTGGTCACAGATACCTTAAAAGAAATGGGGCCTCAGGTACTCATCACGGTATTTCTGTGCATTAGAATTACCATCAATAAAATGCAATTGTGTTTGTTGTCCGTAGCTTATGCCTGCCCATACCATAACCCCACCGCCACCATGGGGCACTCTGTTCACAACGTTGACATCAGCAAACCTCTCGCCCACACGCCATACACGTGGTCTGCGGTTGAGAGGCCGGTTGGACGTACTGCCAAATTCTCTAAAACTACGTTGGATGCGGCTTATGGTAGAGAAATGAACATTAAATTCTCTGGCAACAGCTCTGGTGGACATTCCTGCAGTCAGCATGCCAATTGCACGCTCCCTTCAAACTTGAGACGTCTGTGGCGTTGTGTGACAAAACTGCACGTTTGAGTGGCCTTTTATTGTCCCCAGCACAAGGTGCACCTGTGTAATGATCACTGTTTAATCAGCTTCTTGATATGCCACACCTGTCAGGTGAATGGATTATATTGGCAAAGGAGAAATGTTCACTAACAGGGATGTAAACAAATTTGTGAGAAATATGTTTTTTGGGCATATGGACAATTTATGGGATCTTTTATTTCAGCTCATGAAACATGGGACAAACACTTGACATGTTGCGTTTATATTTCTGTTCAGTATAGTTTCTTGGTATTGCAGGACCAGATGGAATGACTTAATTTGAACTCTTTAACATGTAGAAAAATATTCCTAATGTTTTTTTGTCCTGCAGGTATGTCAAATGCTACCTTCTCCCTGACAAGTCTCGCACGGGAAAGAAGAAAACCAGCATCAAACGTAACACAGTGGACCCCACTTACAATGAGACCCTAAAGGTGATGGCCTCTGGAACTGCAGAAGAATTACTGAACAAACTGTGGACACATCTCTTATTACTCAATGGCTGGTCGTTAAGTTGATAATGCCTCCACCTTCAGTAGGCAGTAAGATTGATACCCTGATGAAGACAGCTTGTCTGTCGAAACGTTGGTTATTAGGTTATTAAATTATTGCATCTGAGAGTGTGCAGCTCTCCTTCTTTTTCAAGTAAGATTGATATTGGCATTCAAGATAAGGAGAGTTAATCGCCGTTAGTGACTGACAAACAAATATTTATTTTGTTGCTGCCCTTTTTTAACTCAGAGTATAGTGAACAGGTAACTCCGATGCAAAGGCCAGGGTGGATGGAAAAATGTACTAAGATGTAGTTGACGGATCAGTGAGAGCAGGGTGTCACTCCCTCACACTTCCTCTCTTCTCCTCCTCCAGTTTTCCATCAGTCGCTCCCAGGTGCTCATTCGTTCCCTCCAGCTCTCCGTCTGGCACCATGCCCGCTTGGGCCGTAATGCCTTCCTTGGAGAGGTGGAGGTGCCTCTGGACTGCAGGGACCTCGACGCCGGCCACGAGGAGTGTGTGGCGCTCATGGGAAAAGTAAGCCTGAATAGTCTCCATCACTAGGGCTCAGTTGTTCCTGGTCAGGTCACATGGTCAGAAAACATTGCAGGCCCTACACATCAATCACTAAATGTATTTCTAATCTACAGTATACAGTACAACCCTGTGGTCTAGTGGTTTTACTGACTATTGTCCTCTATAGGCGTCACCACTACAGTCCTCTGCCTTCTCTCAGTACAAAGGAGAACTGTTGATTTCCCTGAAGTACGTCTCGACCAAGAAACCACCCACTGAAAAGACTAAAGGTAGGAGTGTCCGTGTCGACAGAACAGCTCAGCCAGCACTATCTGTGTCAAACCAATCCCTACCAGTGGCTGTCTGACACCACTATCTCCCCTAGGCAAGACTCTCTCTCTAGGCAAGAAGTCAAAGACGGAGCAGGGAGGGGAGTTGCACGTCTTGATCAAAGAGGCCAAGAACCTGACGGCAATGAAAGCAGGGGACACGTCGGATTCCTTTGTGAAAGGGTTAGCTGACGGCATGATGTCACTATTTCTTCACGTTCACTCTAACAGAGATGAATTTCTTTTGTTTCATCATCCTCACTCGAGAGATGGTGCAACTCCAGCTCATTTGAAGAAAAACATACTTTATTGATTACAAGGATATAGCATTTGTTTCAGCCACCTAGCCTTCATCAAAATGTAATCCTTCTCACTCATGCTTTTAATCCTAGGTACTTGTTGACATCGAAGGCCAAGTCCACTAAGAGGAAGACTCCGGTGGTGAAGAAAACTCTGAACCCTCACTACGACCACACATTTGTGTTCAAAGACCTGACCCTAGACCAGCTAAGTGAGATGTGGCTAGAGCTGACCGTGTGGGACAGGGAGGCCATGTCCAGTAATGACTTCCTGGGTGGGGTTCGACTCAGCACAGGCGCAGGTAATGACACAACACCTTGTTATCTTCTTGGGTGGGGTTCGACTCAGCACAGCCACAGTTAATGACACACAACACCTTGTTGATTTATGGTGGGGAAGTATTAGCCTATATCCATCAGCAGTATTGCTCTACCGTTTTATGTGTTTGATTCAATATTTACTATTCAGTTGTAGGTCACCTATTTTGCCAATGTTAAAGTTGGTAGTAAAGTGAAGCTACCTCAGAGTTCAAATGGCCAAGATGCAGTAGGCCTATTGTTAAAATTGCTTCAAAAGTAGGACTAATCTCACTCCCAGACACTTCCGTCCAAATGTGTGAAAGGTCTGGTGGACTAACGTGTCAAACATTCGCTTTCGTTTGCCAATACAGAAAGACCGGGAGAAACCCCCAGGGCAAATAGCATTGGCTTCATCGGCTTGATCTACCAAACAATCCCACAACCCCTTCTCCCTAACCCTCGCAGTCGTGTGATTTGCTAAAATTAAATGACAAATACTTTACTCAGTAGGTTACTCCCATAGAATTCTATGGTCATTCCAACGTAGGCCAACTTTGAATCATTGATATCCCAGGCTTATATGTGCTGTGTTCAATAGCCTGGGGACGAGGTTGGGACAGGACAGACCTACTTTAGTTCAGTGTTTCTGGTGTCCTACTTTTCAGCCACACTGAAGGTTGGGAAGGAGGAAGTGGAGGCGGATTCAACAGGGGAGGAGGTGACTCTGTGGCAGAAGATGATGCAATACCCTGACTCGTGCGCAGAGGGCACTCTTCCATTACGCTCCTCTATGGGCAAGAACAAGAGCAAGAGCAAGTGAAGACGCCACACTCCACCTCGTAACCTGAAAGAAGAGCTATGGACACAGGGCAATCCCTCAACTTTTTATCACCATCATTATCTGTAACAAAAAGAGACTGTTGCCATATATACAGCTGTGTCTAACCGTAGGCACCATCACGACACTATTGGCCTAAAACAAGTGATTTGAAAGCAGAGTATATTCACCTGAGAGCTTCAGGTTTTTGATAGAGGTATCATTTCATATTTTTAAATAAGGTTGTCTAACTATACAAATGCTTTTTGAGATAAAAATCGGCACTAACCAAAGAGTTTTGATCAAATTCAACAACTCATGTTTAATTTACATTTTATCATGCATTTCTTGAAGCTGAATTCTATCCATATTCAGCAAACCACTCATTATTAACTATGGCGCTTGATGGGGGTTGCTGGTGTTTCAGTTTCAGGCAGAATCTCTGTTCCACTCTTAAGGCATTGAATTCATTTTGGTCCATGTCACCTCTTGTGTTATGATTCATGGTAATTGAATGAAAACTACTGTGCCTGTGATAGGGATTTAAATATTTATGTAAATATTACCAGTAGCACAAAGTGAAGGAGACCAATTTTATTTCTCAACTTTTATGCTCTTTTATTTATAAGAGTCCTATGACTGTATCAAATATTTTATTCACCTAATAAATATGAAATGACTAAACCTGTAATCATCCACATTTGTTACACCTGTCTGTGCAGTACAGAAGGTGAAGTAAAAGTCCCTACATTTCATTACATTTACATTTTAGTCATTCAGCAGACGCTCTTATCCAGAGCGACTTACATTTAGTGAGTGCATACATTATATTTTTTATACTGGCCCCCCGTGGGAATCGAAACCCACAATCCTCTAACAATACACCAATCTCTATACTTTTAGACCTGAAAAACAGGCTACCTCTAAGATCTCTTCATCTATCATCCAGTGGAAACATCTCACTACCAGAGCTGTTCTGTTTTCATGTTTATCTCTCTATTCTGGGCCAGCTTGGTGTCCATGATTGTATCTCTAGATAGCAGAGCCTTTTCCTCTGAGCTGATATCTTTGTAAAAGTGTCTGACCTCCCCAAGCCACCAGGGGGCACTCAAGTCTTAATCACAGAGGTCGCTGTGTAACTCCAGCCGCCTTCGTTCTTCTTCGTCCAACAGGTTATTGTCGATGTATGAGAAGAGCTCATCGGATGTGGTGGGTGTGATGAATCTCTCGTGGTCCAAACCATCCTTGTCCAGCAGCACCATGTTGAAGTAGGATCTGGAGATCCGGAAAGCCTGCCTGTATCACAGTACGAGATGACCATTTAGTGTCAAGTCAGTGATGGTGTATTATATTGCCTGAAGATGCAGTACAGCCAACATGATTATGTGAAGTCACCTTACCTCAGACCCTCAATGACCTCAGTGTCCAGGTGACGTCCCTTGATGAGGCCCACTTCCTGAGGAGGGGACCCTAGCAGCTCAATCACTGTCACTCGTCGTAAGTTCAGACCACAATCTGCTTTCTAGGCATGAAAACACCCCAAGCGTTGTCACATTCATACAAACAAGATGCTCATATTTCATTGACTAAACAGTTTTTTATTATGTCCTGTAGTAACTAGAGTTGTTGAGAAAAGAAATCCCCTGACTAGCAGATAATGCCCAAACCATCCAGGTGTCTCGGACTCACCTGGACCATAAGGTTCTGGAGCTTGTAGTCTCCATGGGCTACGTTAGGTGCCGACACAATTAGAAGCCTCCTCTTCTCATAGAACTGGTCCAGGAGGCCAGAAGCTGTATCCACATCTGTTTTAAACTCCATTGCTACAGTACACACGCACACACAATCAAAACAGAGTATTGTTGTTGGTATAATCACTTCACATGTACGGGTTCAATTGAAGACACAACAAACATGTATGGATTCAATTTAAGACAACAAACCAGAAGGTCATTCTCTGTCATTGGTTCTCAATACTAACTGACACACTCGGCAGAGGCCTCAGTCCAGCTGTGGTCGAACTGGCAGACACGGCTGGAGGTCCCCCTCCTCTCCTGGCCCCCGACACAGTGGTACTCGCACACCGCCCCGTAGTTGTTCCCGTCAGAGTCACAGGTGAGGTAACCATGGAGAGGGGGCTTGAGGACTGGACACCTCCTGACTGGGGAGAGACGGAGAGCAGGGCTAAGCTAAGGACCCTGGGACTAAACACCTCCCTCTGCATCTGGATCCTGGACTTCCTGACGGGCCGCCCCCAGGTGGTAAGGGTAGGTTACAACACATCTGCCACGCTGATCCTCAACACGGAGGCCCCTCAGGGGTGCGTGCTCAGTCCCCTCCTGTACTCCCTGTTCACCCATGACTGCCTGGCCAGGCACGACTCCAACACCATCATTAAGTTTGCCGACGACACAACAGTGCCTGATCACAGACAACGATAACACAGCCTATAGGGAGGAGGTCAGAGACCTGGCCGTGTGGTGCCAGGATAACAACTTCTCCCTCAACGTGATCAAGACAAAGGAGATGATTGTGGACTACAGGAAAAAAAAGAGGACTGAGCACGCCCCCATTCTCATTGACAGGGCTGTAGTGGAACAGGTTCAGAGCTTCAAGTTCCTTGGTGTCCACATCACCAAACAATCATGGTTACCCGGACTATTTGCATCAGCACTCCTACTCTGAGACGCTATAGGGGAATTCCGACCCGAGTTAGGCGCGCGTAAATGGAATGCAATTCCCTTTTTATGCACTTTCCTATCTACAAGTATTATGACATTGAAATGTTTTGAATATTTTTTATTTGTTTTACCCCTTTTTCCTCCCCAATTTTGTGATATCCAATTGGTATCAAGGCAAGCCAAATCCTCCCCTAACCCGGACCAATTGTGCGCCGCCTCATGGGTCTCCCGGTCACGGCAGGCTGTAACGCAACCTGGGATCGAACCCGGGGCTGGAGTGACGCCTCAAGCACTGTGATGCATGGCCTTAGACCGCTGCGCCACTCGGGAGGCCCATGACCTCCAACTTAAGTATGACAATAACATGCTATTCACCCACTCTTCGTTTCGGGTGGAGATCAAATAAATGAAGGTGTGGCGGAGGTGTGTCTACAGATAAACCATATTCTAACCTTGACCTACACTACATGACCATAAGTATGTGGACACCTGCTCGTCGAACATCTCATTCCAAAATCATGGTTATTAATATGGAGTTGGTCCCACCTTTGCTGCTATAACAGCCTCCACTCTTCTGGGAACATTGCTGCGGGGACTTGCTGCCATTCAGCCACAAGAGCATTAGTGAGGTTGGGCGATTAGGCCTGGTTTGCAGTCGGCGTTCTAATTCATCCCAAAAGTGTTCGTTGAGGGCAAGGCTCTGTGCAAGCCAGTCAAGTTCTTCCACGCCGATCTTGACAAACCATTTCTGTACGGAGCTCGCTTTGTGGATGGGGGCATTGTCATGCTGAAACAGGAAAGGGCCTTCCCCAAACTGTTGCCACAAAGTTGGAAGCACAGAATCGTCTAGAATGTCATTGTATGCTGTAGCGTTAAGATTTCCCTTCACTGGAACTAAGGGGCCTAGACCGAACCATGAAAAACAGCCCCAGACCATTATTCCTCCTCCAACAAACTTTACAGTTGGCACTATGAATTCCGGTAGGTAGCTTTCTCCTGGCATCCGCCAAACCCAGATTCGTCCGTCGGACTGCCAGATGTTGAAGAGTGATTAATCAGTCTAGAGAACGCGTTTCCACTGCTCCAGAGTCCAATGGCGGCGAGCTTTACACCACTCTAGCCGACGCTTGGCATTGCACATGGTGATCTTAGGCTTGTGTGAGTCTCCTCGGCCATGGAAACCCATTTCATGAAGCTCCCGACGAACAGTTCGTGCTGACTTTGCTTGCAGAGGCAGTTTGGTAGTGAGTGTTGCAACCGAGGACAGGCGATTTTTACACCCTACGCGCTTCAGTGGTCCCGTTCTGTGAGCTTGTGTGGCCTACCACTTCGCGGCTGAGCTGTTGTTGCTCCTAGACATTTCCACTTCACAATAACAGCACTTACAGTTGACTGGGGCAGCTCTAGCAGGCCAGAAATGTAATGAACTGACTTGTTGGAAAGGTGGCATCCTATGACGGTGCTATGTTGAAAGTCACAGATCTTCAGTAAGGCCATTCTACTGCCAATGTTGAACTATGGAGATTGCATGGCTGTGTGCTCGATTTTATACACCTAAAATAGCCGAATCCACTAATTTGAATAGGTGTCCACATACTTTTGTATATTAAGTGTAATTCCACCACCATTACGCGCGAGGAAACCATGAATAAGGTCTAGCGAACCTACCGGTTCCAAGTGGAAAAAGCATCCATTTTATTTTTTCCCGATAGAAATAACAGCATTCTTCATGCACTGTAATTTACAACTTGATAAGAGCTAGGTAAATGAGTAATCCGTTCGGATAAGGGAATTGTAATAAACACTTGTTTTTGATCTATTTTACCTTATAATCACTGGACATAAACGTGAAACCAGTCATATGGCAGCAAACTGAAGCATATCAACATATCAACTTTCCCACAGTAAAGTTTATGAAATGCTGTGCCATTATGCAGAATTTAAATTGTACGGGCTTTTAACTTGAAGGAATGGGCATTCTCAAATGTCTTAATTATAGCCTCCCCCGACTGTCTCTGTTTCCTATGTCTATCATGTTAAATATTAGCCACTATCAGTATCGACTGTCAGTAGGCCTAATAACAACACATATTCAACTGCCAATTTACTGTTAGTTCCCTGCAGTTGGTATAGTCTACATTATCATTCAATTGAATTACATTGTTTCGTTTACCTTCTTTGCCATTAGTTTGAACCCGACACATGGTGCAATACTTGGCCGCGTCACAGTTCCTGAGTGGCGCAGTGGTCTAAGGCACTGCATCGCAGTGCTAACTGTGCCACTAGAGATCCTGGTTCGAATCCAGGCTCTGTCGCCGCCGGCCGCGACCGGGAGACTCATGGGCGGCGCACAATTGGCCCAGCGTCGTCCAGGGTAGGGGAGGGAATGGCCGGCAGGGATGTAGCTCAGTTGATAGAGCATGGCGTTTGCAATGCCAGGGTTGTGGGTTTGATTCCCACGGGAGGGCAGTATAAAAAAAAGATATATATGTATTCACTAACTGTAAGTCGCTCTGGATAAGAGCGTCTGCTAAATGACTAAAATGTAAATGTTAGTGCAGGCAATAGACAAGGGTATAGCCTACTATTGTACACTATTCTCTCTACTTCCAAACGCCTGAAGGTACCACGTTCATCTGTACAAACAATAGCACGCAAGTATAAACACCATGGGACCACGCAGCCATCATACCGCTCAGGAAGGAGACGCCTTCTGTCTCCTAGAGATGAACGTACTTTGGTGCAAAAAGTGAAAATCAATCCCAGAACAACAGCAAAGGACCTTGTGAAGATGCTGGAGGAAACAGGTACAAAATGATCTATATCCACAGTAAAACGAGTCCTATATCGACATAACCTGAAAGGCCGCTCAGCAAGGAAGAAGCCACTGCTCCAAAACCGCCATAAAAAAGCCAGACTACGGTTTGCAACTGCACATGGGGACAAAGATCGTACTTTTTGGAGAAATGTCCTCTGGTCTGATGAAACAAAAATAGAACTGTTTGGCCATAATGAACATCATTATGTTTGGAGGGAAAAGGGGCTTGCAAGCCAAAGAACACCATCCCAACTGTGAAGCACGGGGTGGCAGCATCATGCTGTGGGGGTGCTTTGCTGCAGGAGGGACTGGTGCACTTCACAAAATAGATGGCATCATGAGGAAGGACAATTATGTGGATATATTGAAGCAACATCTCAAGACATCAGTCAGGAAGTTAAAGATTGGTCACAAATGGGTCTTCCAAATGGTCAATGACCCCAAGCATACTTCCAAAGTTGTGGCAAAATGGCTTAAGGACAACAAAGTAAAAGTATTAGAGTGGCCATCACAAATCCCTGACCTCAATCCTATAGAACATTTGTGGGCAGAACTGAAAAATCGTGTGCGAGCAAGGAGGCCTACAAACCTGACTCAGTTACACCAGCTCTGTCAGGAGGAATGGGCCAAAATTCACCCACCTTATTGTGGAAAGCTACCCAAAACGTTTGACCCAAGTTAAACAATTTAAAGAAAATGCTACCAAATACTAATTGAGTGTATGTAAACTTCTGACCCACTGGGAATGTGATGAAAGAAAAAAAAGCTGAAATAAATCATTCTCTCTACTATTATTCTGACATTTCACATTCTTAAAATAAAGTGACCTAAGACAGGGAATTTTTAGGATGATTAAATGTCAGAAATTGTGAAAAACTGAATTTAAATGTATTTGTCTAAGGTGTATGTAAACGTCTGACTTCAACTGTAAATGTACTAAAAACGAATTGAATAAACTCCACAAGAAAATGTGTTGGGCAGCAAGTGGGAGGGTTTTCAGTGGTTAAATTAAACGTATTCAGAGCGCGCAAGGTAGCCACACACGCAAAGCGTGTTACGCGACTGAATAAGGTAAGTCTGAATACCAAATACCAAATACTGAGAAGTGTGTAGGATAGGCATTCATTTCCTAAGTCTGAATCGGCCCCTTTGTGAATAGGGCCCAAAACAGGCACCTTTTAACAGTACACACTGAGCTGTATGGGATCAGCCCTCTGAGTAATGGAATATGACGACTCTTGGATGCCTCTAAAGTAGGGTTCCCAACTGGCAGCCCGCGGGTGATTTTATTTGGCCCCCCAAATTTTCTGAACCAAAATAATGTAATGTTTTAATTTTTTTTGGGGGGGGGGACATAAGACTGTAAAAACACCAGCAAATCAGCTCCAAGTATAAAATAGATATATGTGATCGTATACAAATGTAAGCAAGGTTTGAAATGATTATGTTTTAGTCAAATATTACATCTGTTGGTAATAATGTTCCGGCCCCCTGACCATCCGCTCAAGAAAAATAAAAACGGCCCACAGCTGAATCTAGTTGATTAACCCTGCTCTAAAGTGTTTCTTGAAGTTCTCGATGAAGGAAATATAATTGTTGTTTATCACTGAAGGAAATGTGAAATGAAAAAAAAAAGTACATTAAAAAAGAAATTAATCCAGTATTAACTTCCATGATGAAATACATCAATTCAAAGTTGAAAAAAAACCAAGCCATGAGGTCGAAGGAATTTTGGACACAGGATTGTGTCGAGGCACAGATCTAGGGAAGGGTACCAAAAATTGTCAGCAGCATTGAAGGTCTTCAAGAACACAGTGGCCTCCATCATTCTTAAATGGAAGAAGTTTGGAACCACCAAGACTCTTCCTTGAAGATCTCTCTGTACTTTGCTCCATTCATCTTTCCCTCTATCCTGACTAGTCTCCCAGTCCCTGCCGCTGAAAAACATCCCCACAGCATGATGCTGCCACCACCATGCTTCACCGCAGGGGTGGTGCCAGATTTCCTCCAGACGTGACGCTTGGCATTGAGCCCAAAGAGTTCAATCTTGGTTTCATCAGCAGGCTGTCGTATGCCTTTTACTGAGGAGTGGCTTCTGTCTGGCCACTACCATTAAAGGGTTGATTGGTGGAATGCTGCAGAAATGGTTGTCCTTCTGGAAGGTTCTCCCATCTTCACAGAGGAACTCTGGAGCTCTGTCAGAGTGACCATCGGGTTCTTGGTCACCTCCCTGACTAAGGCCCTTCTCCCCCAATTGCAAAGTACAGAGAGATCTTTGAGGAAAACCTTTTCCAGAGCGCTCAGGACCTCAGACTGGGGCGAAGGTTCAACTTCTAACAGAACAATGACCCTAAGTACACAGCCAAGACAACGCAGGAGTGGCTTCGGGACATGTCTCTGAATGTCCTTGAGTGGCCCAGCCAGAGCCCGGACTTGAAATCTGATCGAACATCTCTGGAGACCTGAAAATAGCTGTGCACGACGCTCCCCATCCAACCTGACAGAGCTTGAGAGGATCTGCAGAGAAGAATGGGAGAAACTCCCCAAATACAGGTGTGCCAAGCTTGTAGCGTCATACCCAAGAAGACTGGAGGCTGTAATCGCTGCCAAAGGTGCTTCAACAAAGTACTGAGCAAAGGCTCTGAATACTTATGTAAATGTTATATTTCCATTTTTTTTATTTATACATTTGCAAAGATTTCTAAACCTGTTTTTGCGTTGTCATTATAGGGTATAGTGTGTAGATTGATTAGAACCCCCCCCCCCCTCCCCAATTTAATCATTTTTAGAATAAGGCTGTAACGTAACAAAATCTGGAAAAAGCCATGGGGGCTGAATACTTTCCGAATGCACTGTATAATGGTTTGTCCAGTAAGTCTGGGCTTTACTCTAGTCCAAATGTCAGGTCATTGTGTCTGACATTGACTGTGGTGCCTTACCTTCCACACGAACAATGAACTTGCAGGCAGCCCTGTTTCTGGCTTGGTCATGTGCTGTGTACCGGATAATGTTTATCCCCTCTTTAAAGTTGGTATCTGGCCCCTGGCCTATCAGTGTTACACTGTAAACAGACACAAAGAACAACACATGATTCACCTCCTGCACAGGGGAAGAAGTAGGAGGGAATCAGTTAAAAAAGCACTGACATACTCTAGTGTTTTATCAGCAGTATCCGTGGCAACAGGGGGGTCCCAGGACACTCTGGCTGTTAGTTTCCCAGGCTCAGCGACCTTCACTCGGGACAGGGGACACTTTATTTTTGGAGGATCATGATCTGAAACACCACAGTTTGGTAAACCAGTGAAGAAAAATAATAGAGAATATAAAAATGTCTGAGTTAAATGTTAACATCCTCTGTTGGTCTGGGTCAATTGAATCAATTCATCTTTTGAGGGAGGGGAAATTTGAAGATTAGAAATATCTATTGGTCTTGGTTTTGAGCCAAAGACAGAAAAAGGAATGAAACGTGGAAAGCGAGAGGTACTAGATGAGTATCTGTGTTTTGTTTATGTGGGTGGGAGACATGCCCATGGGAGCTGCCAGGGCTTCTAAAAGTCAGAAACAAACGGAACTGGAAAAACAATTAGCTTGAAAGATGGACTCCAAATGTTTTGCTGTGCTTACAGGGTGCATGTATCTCATTAATTCATGGAAAAAAAAAATATATAATATGCTGACTTAATTACCACTGACTTTATGACCATTCACTTGCCTCCAGGCATATCAAACCAAACACCACCTGAGTTTCACCCCACAGTGGAAAAGCATTAATGAATCATGTCAGTATACTTGGATGTGCTGACTAAACATATGAGCTGTACCTGCACAGATGGGCTCTGCCCCACTCCAGGACCCCCCATCCAGACAGGTACGAGAGTGGTCCCCCTCGATCCGGTACCCCGGCTCACAGATGTAGTCACACCTGGAGTCCACCACATAACCCTGGGTGCAGTGGTACGTGCCGTGCCAGATCAGGTGCAGCACGTTGCAACGAATCTCTGTGGAGTCACCATAGTCAACAAGCTAGACACTGAGTATACCAAACATCAGGAACACCTTCCTAATATTGAGTTTCTTCTTAATGTTTTGTATACTCAGTGTATATTACTCCTATGAAAGTGTTTTCTAAAGAAAACTCAGGGCCTTTTTTTATTAACAATAGATGACATGGACCCAATAGACAATCAGCTGTATCTGTCTATAATCAGCCTGTACTCACGGCGGCAGTGACTGGTCCCAGACCAGCGGCGGTTGGGCATGCACAGCACCGAGGATCTGCCCAGCAGCTTGTAGCCACGGTCACAGGTCATCTCGCAGCGGGTGCCTAGGGTGCTGCGGTAGTTCTCTCCTCGGGGGGAGTGGCAGGTCACATCCCCATTGGCCAGGCTCAGAAAGTGACACCATCTTGGATCTGCATCAAAACAATCATGTTTAAACACACACTGGAACGCAGCGCAAGACCAATGTGCTACAGACATATCAAGAGATACTGATTTCAGAACTGTGATGATGTGAGGTATGTAGATTACAAATCTGTGTTGTTGATAATATTAGTGTTGTGAGTGTGTGGTTCTCCTTACTTACGCCTGTAGTTCAGTCGGGGAGTATAGTACTCCTCCTCTGGCATAACCTCATTGTAGCTGCTGTGCAGTGTGGTTCCAGAGCCTGAAAACAATGACAGACTATTATTAGCTCTAATCAGTCATAGCAACAAGGCATAAAACAGATGAAAACCATTTGTCAGCTACTAATGTATTTATGGATGATATGTACTTTCTTTCTCACACATGAACCTACATGTATTTATTAGCTTATTTGAGATAAATATGAAATGATTTTGAGGTAGAACATGAAGAGTTTAATAAAGGTGATGCAGAGAAAACCTCTTGGCATGCTAATGGTTTTCCCACAATCTCAGTTCCGCACAACCTGATTTCTGGTCCATTCCTGAGCCAGCTTACTATTTGACAAAGACCTGGATTTCCAATAACGGAAGTCGAAAAAACCATGGAAACTCTCCAGGGGTTGGGATCCAAAACTGAAGTCCAGTCAAAACAGTACATCTCTGAAAAAGGCCAGACTTCCTGGTTGGCTAAAGTTCCATTTAAATCACAACGTCAAAGTGTTTTAGCGTCACATGGAAGGAAAATAAGATAATAAAGAGAGTAGGAAAAGGACTTAACTGGGCACAGATTACACTGAATGTGCACTGAGATCATGACACATGAAGAAGATGAAGTTGGCAAGTAGAGGTCCTCTCTTCCATTTTGAATGTAATACTGGAACTAGTTAGTAGGTAACATCTCTTTTTGCCTCCTCATCATTTGCACAGTAGCTTTAAACCAAGGAGCTGAATCTAACTTTCCATACATTAGGTCTCCCTTACCACACTCATTCTTTCCCCTCACTTGTCAACTATTTCATAAACCCAATCCCTTGAAGGATATTTAAAAGGGACACTACTGTTTAGAAAGAGGGCTGACAGATTTGATTTTTTCCAAGTCTCTGCGCTGAGTATTCTCCCTGAATACTTGTAACAACAAAGTGGTCCAGATACTAGCTTACTCAGTCTACAGGGGCTAGTCAATGTGTAATTTAGACCAATGAAAATTCAATTCATGGTGACAAAACTCAACGTTTCTATTCATGGTCATTTGGGCACTTGCAATAGGCTGCTAAACATACACTGGAAAAAATTACAATGATGTTACAACACCTTTCATCAAATGCCTTGTTTCTAGTCTGACTGAATAACACATAAACATGCCCTCAGATTCCTAGCACCCAAGTCTCCCTCATGTTTGCAAATCCAAGTGAGGATCAACCTTAAAGTATTGTCTATAAACAGACTCTTTGGTATTCAAGATAGTTTACATTTCAGCAGCAATTGTAATCCTTTGTACCATGTCTCATAGTAGACATGTAAGTAGTATTAATATTCAAATATCTATTTTACATTATTACACTAATGCAGGCAGCTGCTGTGGCCGCCTGATGACAGTGAGGTTGTAAAGCAGACTGCATCACAGTGAGACCAGCCAGGCACACTTCCCACAGCTCTCAGCGAGGCGGTTACTTTACCAGAAAGACATGCAATTACCACTGCAGGGAGAACATCCAACTAGGAGAAATTAGTCAGTCATTCTGGAGAGGGTGGATTTCACAAGCCAACTATTCACAGCAGTCATTCTGTCCTCGTTTCAATGGATATATTCTCATGTTGAGGTTTATAAAGTTGATTCCAGATTAGCATCCTTTGTATTTCAGTTGGAAAAGTGTTAAATTACAGGAGAACGTGACTAATAGCAATGGTGAGACAATGGTCAATCCATTAGCGACTACATTTTCGCTCTGTGGTTTTGCTTTGTAATCAACTGGCAGCAGGCATGAGTTTGGGTGGATCTGAGGTGCCTCAAATCACTGTCTTTTAAGGGCCAAATGAGGGCCTTGGCACAGCTGGTCTGTGCACACTCAGTCATTTGTCTGTGATTGGAGTTGTAATTACACAGGTCTGAGAATGAGTGACATGCTCAACATCAGAGGAGGGATAGATATAAATCACAGGTGTCTGTAGGCTTACTACAGTGATGACTTCTATTTACCTACAAAACTTTTTCTTAATGAAAAAATGCATAGATGGCATATTTGGGCTTATTTGCCCTCTCTTTTTTAACTGAAAAAGAATGTTAGAAGAGTGGTTGAGTTTCTGTTCAGGAAATACTCCCTGCTCTCTCTGTATTCCTTCAGGTCCCTCTAAAGATCCCACCACAGCTGCTTCTCTTTACTGCCTTATTACTGTGGTGATGGAGGTATGTCCCCACTCCCCCATTGCATGGAACCTATTATGGGCCATTGATGACTGACAGGGAAAGCATGTGTCTGTACTGGCAATAATTATTTTATAGTAGCTTACAAAAGTATAGTTTCAAAGTATGTCCGAATATAATCATAACTGCTTATTCAGCATGAGGAATAGAATAACATTGCATACATTTTGTACATCAAGGCTACTGCAAAGTGTAATCTTTGAGTAAAGAAACAGAATAATAGTCAAAGTGAAAGAGAAAAGTATCTGCCCACTGGTTACAGACGTCAATTTAAGGTCTATTCTACGTTAAATAAAAGGTTAAATAAAAAAATAGTTCAACTGAAATGACGTGGAAACAAAGTTGATTAAATCCTTGTGTGCCCAGTGGGTGGTCTTACCTTCATTGTGTCCCAGCAGCTCTCTGATAAAGGTCACCATGAATAGTAAAAGGATATGGAATCGTGACATGCCAACACGGTCTTTAGGCGCAATAATTCAGATAAAGGTGGTACTAGGCATCAACTGTAACCAAGGTGGAGACCATTGACCAATGTCCAGCGCTGAAAAATTTAAGGCGAGCTCCAGTCCAGACCCCAAGCACGACTAAACAGTCAATTCATTAAATATATATTTTTTACTGACAAAATTATTCGAATCGTTTTTTACTTATATCTCTCTGTGGAAAGAAGAACCCACCAACGCTCCAGTCAAACCAGACAGCGTCACTTTTACTGTAGAAGTTCCTCGGTTTCCACTAGTTACTACAGCCACAAAGTCAACAGGTTATGGTTAGCAGTGTTGTTAAGGTTAGGTTTAAAATCACATTTTAAGAAGATACATTTTCGAAATAGGCGGGGTTTATGACCTTTTGGCTGTGGTAACTAGTGACAACCAAGTTCCTCCTCGTTTATCACATATGCGGTTCGAGAAGTTACCACTAGGAGGCGTTGTTGGACTACTTTATAAGGGCTATCATACAGCCCTAACCCTGATCCATCAGTTGTTTAACAGTTCTAGCCTAAATAATTATATTAATGGGGAAACCATTGATAGTCCCTATGCCCAAGAACGCCAAGGTTACCTGTCTAAATGATTATCACCCAGTAGCACTCACATCTGTAGCCATGAAATGTTTTGAAAGTCTAATCATGGCTCACATCAACACCACAATCCCAGACACCCTGGACCCACTCCAATTCGCATACCGCCCCAAAAGATCCACAGATTACGCAATCTCTATTGCACTGCCACACTGCCCTTTCCACCCTGGACAAAAGTAACACCTACATGAGAATGCTGTTCATGGACTACAGCTCTGCGTTCAACACCATAGTGCCCTCCAAGCTCATCACTAAACTAAGGACCCTGGGACTAAACACCTCGCTCTGCAACTGGATCCTGGACTTCCTGATGGGCCACCCTTAGGTGGTGATGCTTACACCTACCCATTTGATTAATCAGGGATTAATCCATTTATAGCTAGATACCTCAATATGACAGACATAACTAAATGTATAGCTAGCAACATGTAGATGACCAACTAGCTAGATGGAAAATGGTTGTTGAAAAATGGTTGTACATAAATCAACACAATAAATACAGTATCTTTCCTGAAGTTATTATTTTTCTTGTTTTCTGTTGATGAATCATGTTGTTTGTTTTCGATAATTGGGTGGTTTAACACAATTCGATTGAAGAGGGTTTTTTCAAAGTCAGTTTGGTTTCGGTGACTTGCTCCAATTCCACACAATGCTTTTGGTATTGGTGTCCCATCCCTGGCTTTTGAAGCGTCCTCTGGTCAGCACCAAGTGCACATCGTTAATCTAATCAAGTTTCACAAATATTAACTGGTTGGTTCCTATTTACTTTAGTCTGGGACTCCCTAGTATATAACTAATTAATCTGAAGTTAAGCAAAGTCTCTGAAAGCCATTTAAAAAAAAAAATCTGGAGTAATTTAAGTAGAATTAACCTAGTCCTGATTTAAATTAAACTCTGTCCGCGAAACCGCCCCTGAGTAAAGCAAGGAGAGATGTTCAAATCCACCTACTGAAATAAATCATGTTTACAACATTTAATCAAAATGCAGCATCCTTTTTTTCAGCTGTACAATTTTGAAATTGTTGTATTGAATACCAGAACGGATAATTAGGTCAATCATGACGCTGACAGCACACGCAAGAGCAGAACATAAATTATACATGATCAAACATTGAATATACACACAGCAATATTCAGTACTGCAATCAGGGCGCTAACTCTGGTCTTTACCTCATGAAACCACTAGATACACTAGTAGTGTTTTAGCCAACCGGCACCAGTAGGAATTTTTTATGAAAATGTAATTTTTGTGACTAATAATATATTGTATGGCATTTGTATCAGTCATGTGTATCAGTCATGTGTTAGGCCTACTGTCATACGCCTTATCCGATTTAACCTGAAGTTTCCTCTGAGAATAATAAAGTTATTCTATTCTATTATATTGTAGAAAATCATCAATAAAAGTGAAATATTTTTGAATTTTATTTTTCCTCACGGGCAAGTGAATCTGGATCAGTGACGACACTTCCCTTCTCCTTGGATTCTGTTTTTGTCGAGAAAAGTTTTCCAGCAGGGCGCTTTGGAAGTTTTTTTTCTCTTTGCAACAACGATACTTTTTGACTGACAAGTTCTGCGAAATAGACATCATGTCTCCCCCATCAAGAAGGCTTCAAACGAAGCCTGTGATTACATGTCTCAAGACCTTTCTTATTTCTTACAGTCTCATATTTTGGGTAAGTATTTACATGTAACTAACGGATGCAAGCAAGCTACCGTAACAATGGGCTAAGTTAGCGGCGATGCCAACAGGCAACATATCCAACCATTTGGCATTTACAAAGGAATAACGTTAGGCTACGGCTGACAGAAAGGACTCTAATGATTTTAAAATAGAACATCTCATCAAAAATAATTTCCCCGTGATATAGCACGACAACACTGGTATAAAATAATCACATTTTTTTATATTTACCGACGCCTCGAACTAATTCACATTATTAATTTGCAAACGCTGTCTGTAAAAGTTGTGCCGCTACCACAGTTAGTTATTATGTTGCAATAAGCTTTCCTCCGAGAGCGACAAACAAGGCGATATTTTTCTGTTGAGTATTGCAGCCCGCGAGCAGAGGTTACATTTGGATTGTTGACGTTGATTGCGGGGCTCATGTAACTGTGTTTTTCCACCCAGCTAGGGCTCGTGTAGCCCTTGATCATGACTCTCAGTTCCATTACATTACACATACGTTGGAGGAAGGCGTCTTCTGTACGGGGGAGTTTTGTTGAGAGCCCAGACGCTCGGTCTGAACATTAACACGTGTCGCTTGTGGTACGGTTTGGGAAGCATATAGACCTCATCTTTCATATCCGCAAGAAATCATTTTCAAGAAAAAAAACCGTTAAATTGAAACACACATTTATAGGTTAAAGGTTAGTGTTCCCACATGGCCATATCTCCATGTTACAACTCCCGTTTACAGAAGACAGAGGGACCACCTGTGCTAATTAGCTACTGTATCTAGCATGAGCCGAACATCTGTGTAATGGAAGAAAGCCACCAGAAACGTGTCATCACCTGAAAAATACTCTCAGCAGCAACTGTGATGAAGTCGGTTAAAATTGGTCAACACTACGTTTATATTTTGCATTTGCGAAATTATTTTGAGGTGATATGAAAGTAAAGGGCTTTATGTTTCTAGAACCTTATCGCAATTGAGAATCGATTCACGTTCAGATGGAGTTTTTGGCTGCCAGAGCCAGTCTACCTCTGAAAATAACATGTAAGGGCCTTGGACCTTAAGGAGTAACAGCGGGCTCCTTTAGAGTACATCTTGGGCTAGGGCTTGAGCTGACATTCTTAGGCAAATTGGCAGATGTTGTAAACAGCTTTTCGAAATGGTTGTTGACTGAGAAACAACCTCAGGCATTCTTCCTAAATAATTATTATGAGCATAAACATCTATTTAACTGTACTTTTAGGTGAACATCTTTTTCTTTGTTTTTGCCAAGTTGACATTAAAGACCGTTAGCCAGCTTTTATTTTTCTAACAGCTTTCTTGATAAATCTAGTGAAAATTTGATTTCTCAATGCTGTTTCTTCAGTTTCCATTATTCTGTCTACGCCATTAATCAAACGTGGCTTTTTTTCTGGGTTCAAAGTTCATGATAACACATTTATCTATCTAGCTATATAGAAGGTGATGTGTATCATTCATGGCCCGATGGACTGATGACAGCACTCTGTGACGAATGACTCTGGTAGACGGAAGGGCAATACATTTACAAGGGAAGATGCTGAGCTCACTGATGTGAGACGTTGGGCAATTGGTTGTGGGGGAGATGTTTAAGTTCCATGTTGACTTTGCCTTCCATGTGAGAAAAATCAGTTGTAGGCCACTTATACCAACCTCAAAGCTTTTTCAGCTTTGTAAAGACTCCCGACAACAGTCACACTGAGCTGAATAAAATTGTTAGGTGCTCAAGGTGTATAATTAGGAGGGCTGTTTTTGCACCTTAAGTCTTGAGTTTGTGTCAAAGAACTAGGCCAAACCTCTTAAACATCCCCTTAGGGACCTGAGAGTGCATTCGGAAAGTATTCAGACCCCTTCCCTTTTTCCACATTTTGTTACGTTACAGCCTTATTCTAAAATTGATTAAATTATTTTTTCCCCTCATCAAGCCACACACAATACCCCATAATGACAAAGCAAAAACAGGTTTTTAGAATTTTTAGCAAATGTATTAAAAGTTACAAAAACAGAAGTACCTTATTTACATAAGTATTCAGACCCTTTGCTATGAGACTCAAAATTGAGCTCAGGTGCATCCTGTTTCCATTGATCATTCTTGAGATGTTTCTACAACTTGATTGGAATCCACCTGTGGTAAATTCAATTGATTGGACATGATTTGGAAAGGCACACACCTGTCTATATACGGTCCCACAGTTAACGGGGCATGTCAGAGCAAAAACTAAGCCATGAGGTCGAAGGAATTGTCCGTAGAGCTCCGAGACAGGATTGTGTCGAGGCACAGATCTGGGGAAGGGTACCAAAACATTTCTGCAGCATTGAAGGTCCCCAAGAACACAGTGGCCTCCACCATTTTTTTTCTTACCCCCTTTTTCTCCGTAATTTCGATCTTGTTTCATCACTGCAACTCCCCAGTGGGCTCGGGAGGCAAAGGTCGAGTCATGCGTCCTCCGAAACGTGACCCGCCATACCATGCTTCTTAACACCCGCCCGCTTAACCCGGAAGCCAGCCGCACCAATGTGTCGGAGGAAAGACCGTTCAACTGACGACTGAGGTCAGCCTGCAGGTGCCCGGCCCGCCACAGGGAATCGCTAGAGCGCGATGAGCCAAGTAAAGCCCCCCCGGGTCTGTAGTGACGCCTTAGACCGCTGCGTCACTCAGGAGGCCCATGGCCTCCATCATTCTTAAATGGAAGAAGTTTGGAACCACCAAGACTCTTCCTAGAGCTGGCCGCCTGGCCAAACTGAGCAATCGTGGGAGAAGGGCCTTGGTCAGGGAGGTGACCAAGAACCCGATGGTCACTCTGACAGAGCTCCAGAGTTCCTTTGTGGAGATGGGTGAACCTTCTAGAAGGACAACCATCTCTGCAGCACTCCACCAATCAGACATTTATGGTAGAGTGGCCAGACAGAAGCCACTCCTCAGTAAAAGGCACATGACTGCCCGCTTGGAGTTTGCTAAAAGGCACCTAAAGATTCTCAGACCATGAGAAACAAGATTCTGGGGTCTGATGAAACCAAGATTGAACTCTGGCCTGAATGCCAAGCGACACATCTGGAGGACATCAGGCACCATCACTATGGTGAAGCATGGTGGTGGTGGCAGCATCATGCTGTGGGGATGTTTTTCAGCGGCAGGGACTCTGAGACTAGTCAGGATCGAGGGAAAGATGAACGGAGCAAAGTACAGAGAAATCCTTGATGAAAATCTGCTCCAGAGTGCTCAAGACCTCAGGTTCACCTTCCAACAGGACAACGACACTAAGCACACAGCCAAGACAACGCAGGAGTGGCTTCGAGACAAGTCTCTGAATGTCCTTGAGTGGCCCAGCCAGAGCCCAGACTTGAACCAGATCTAACATCTCTGGAGAGACCTGAAAATAGCTGTGCAGCGACGCTCCCCATCCAACCTGACAGAGCTTGAGAGGATCTGCAGAGAAGAATGGGAGAAAGTCCCCAAATACAGGTGTGCCAAGCTTGTAGCGTCATACCCAAGAAGTCTTGAGGCTGTAATCGCTGCCAAAGGTGCTTCAACAAAGTAAAGGGTCTGAATGCTTATGTAAATGTGATATTACAGTTGTACAATTTTAATACGTTTGTAAAAATTTCTAAACCTGTTTTTGCTTTGTCATTATGGGGTATTGTGTGTGCACTCTATCATATATGCCATTTAGCAGATGCTTTTATCCAAAGCCACTTAGTCATGCGTGCATACATTTTACATATGGGTGGTCCCAGGAATTGAACCCACTACCATTTTGTTATAAGAGCCATGCTCTACCAACTGAGCTACAAAGGACCAGCTGAATGTCTGCGCTTTCTTTCAGTTTACAGGGGTTATCCTTCTGGCTGTTGGAGTATGGGGGAAAGTGAGCCTGGAAGCTTATTTCCAACTGGCCTCTGACAATAGCACCAACGCGCCATTTGTCCTCATCGGGACTGGCGCCATCATCGTCATTTTTGGCCTGTTTGGTTGCTTCGCTACATGCCGCGGTAGCCCATGGATGCTAAAACTGGTCAGTTGCACTGTGAAGGGTTACATTTTGTATTTGCACATTTTCCTCAAATGTTTCTAGTCTTTGCTTGAATGTAAATTGATGAGTTTGTTTTGTTCCCCTCTCAGTATGCCATGTTCCTGATTCTGGTGTTCTTAGCCGAGTTTGTGGCTGGCATCTCTGGCTTCTTATTCAGACATGAGGTGAGATATTTTTAATGAGAAGTGTTTCCACATCCAACAAGTTACCAGGTGCTGGGATACAAAAACCTGTGTGCGCTGAGGTATACTCCCATATAGATTATTGCAATGTTTCTGACTAGAAGGACTACGAAGACCTTCTGGTCGAAATGTTGCAATAAACTATATGGGAGTAGACATCAATGTGTGGGTACTTTATGAGGTGACTTGCAATACACTTGCCATTACTATAGGATTCAGTTGGCCACAAATCAAACCCAATTCCTTTTGTTTATTGCAGATAAAGGCTGTATTAGGTGATGCCTATAAAGACGCTGTGACAAACTACAATACCACAGACTCCAAAAGCTCTGCAGTTGACACCATCCAGAGGACTGTAAGTGGTATTATGTTATTCAATGCGTAGCCTCATTCTATCTGGTTCCTTTGCAAAGACCACAAAACATTCTGTTTATAGAAGTGGCTTTTAACATCATTTTATCAGAGACCCTGCAGAAGTGTTGCTATAAATAACTTCTACAGTACAGATGGTCACGACCTGCCATCTTTTTTTGTTGTTGAGTTGCATAGATCTTGTTGGTATACGATTGTATTAGGTTATGGTCTTTATTTTACATTATTAAATAACTTATTGATGTACAATAGAACCACCTTTTAACATTATTTGATTTGCCCACTTGGCTAAGTCAACCATAGAATTAGGAATTAGAAGTCAACATTGTTATTTCCTCTTGATAATTAGTAAATTTGTGTTTTGTGCAGTTGCACTGCTGTGGAGTGGATAGTTACAAGGACTGGAACACGACAAAGTACTTCAAAGACAATGGCATCCCTGTCAGCTGTTGCAAAGAGAATTCGGTCTGCTCTGTCGAGAACCTCAAGGACCTTGACAAGGCTCGTGACGTGGTGTATGACACGGTGAGAGCACTGCCGCATATCATTATCAATTATATCACACAGAATTATGTCAGAGCTTTCTGTCTCTGGTTAGCTAAGTTCAGACCCTGCTTTGAGTCATAGTTTGTAAGTATTTTAGATCAAGTGTTTGCCAATCAGTAGGCGTAATGAACAGCTATAACCTTAAGGAACCATATTAAAAAGTTTATTTTCCTTCTGCTTAACATGTTTTAGGGCTGCTTCTCACTAGTGACCATTTTGATGGAGTCTAACCTGGGAATCATTGCAGGGATATCTTTCGGAATTGCATTCTTCCAGGTACATCAGTTGACAGGCTGCTTACAGTAGGCATAATCCCTAGGGGGGAAAAAGATACAATAATGTTATTACCAGTAACATGGATCTTGAAATGTTGTGCAATCATCAAGAAAATGCTAGATGTAACCTTTTTGTCAATTTTTTTGTTCACATCCTAATTGAAACTCTGTTTAACTTTCTGCCTAGCTCATTGGGGTTTTCTTGTCCTGCTGCTTGTCTCGATACATCACCAACAACCAGTATGAGATGGTCTAGCAGTGTCCTTCCACAGGTAGTACCCTATATGGACTAGTGGTGTGGGATCCCATCCCATGCCTCATTGTTTTCGCATAGAAAGTCATGTCTTAGGAGTGCTCAAAATGTTGATTCCTGTGTAGCTCAGTTGTTAGAGCGTGGCAAGCGCCAGGGTTATGGGTTCGATTCCCATGGGGAACCAGTATGAAAAAAGTATTTAAATGTATGCACTCACTACTGTAAGTTTGGATAATAGCATCTGCTAAATGACTCAAATGTAAATGTAAAAATGTATATGATTACATTGTCATACAGGACATGACACTGGAACCCCTGTACTTGGTTTGGTCACTTAAGTTTCTTTGTATCAACTTCTTGATTCTGCCACTACTGAAGAGAGCATTTTCATGAAATGAAATGCCCACTTCGGCACATCAGATATGGTATTCATTACCTAGGAAGGTGATCATGTAAATTCAAACACCATGTGGAAATGTAGTACAGTGTATCAATATTATGCTCAACAGTTGAGTAAGACCAGTGGCTGAAATCCCCAACCTGATGTAACATTGATTATTGATGCACCATAAAAGTCATGGAAATGTTCATGACTACAACCCATCTAACAACATGTCATTTGTCTTTTTTCTTTGCAGGTCACTGATGGGCAGCTCATGATGCAAAGGGAACTTGCATATTTTTAATCCTTCGTATACGTGTAATGGTTATCTATGTCATTTTAGAATAACCTCTTGCTGATATAAAAACAAAAAAACAGACTTTCACTTTTCAATGGCAAACAGACTGAAGGAAAAAAGTTATTGGACACCATAAGGGATCTATTTCTGCAATTCTGTCATCAATGGGATAAAGCTTTGTCTTGCTAAGACTAGTGGATTACAGTTTATTGTGCTTAAATGTTAATTTGGGATTCACAGACTTTATCAATGGCATATTTCTCATTTGATTCATGTCTGTTTGATGCTATTATATATGACATATTGAAATTGATTTGGTGAGCTTCGACCAAATATTAATGTATACGTTAAACGTTCTCATATTCATGAAATTTTTCATAATAACGGCAGCCCTCATATTGCTGTTATATTTACATTTTAGTAATTTAGCAGACACTCTTATCCAGAGCAACTTACAGAAGCAATTAGGGTTAAGTGCCTTGCTTGAGGGCACATCGCATCTTGTGTGTTAAAGTAATCTTTCTGTAGCCTGTTATTTTCAAGATTGGCATTACAATATTATAAGCTGGTGACTCATTAGACCATCTCGAACACCACAGTAATTTACACTGGAAAACCTCCAGCAATCCATCCATCTCTTCTGTGGAGACTGGGAGAAAAGTACTCAAAGTTGCCATTGTGAGAGTAGAGGAATGGATTGAATGCTGTTGACACTTGGTTAATAGAGAATATACAAATTATACACCACCATGATTTAGTGTGACCGTGAAGGCATTTTATAAAGGGGTTTTCTTTATTTTTACTATTTTCTACATTGTAGAATAATAGTGAAGACATCAAAACAATGAAATAACACATGGAATCATGTAGTAACCAAAAAAGTCTTAAACAAAACAAAATATATTTGAGATTATTCAAATAGCCACCCTTGCCTTGATGACAGCTTTGCACACTCTTGGCATTCTCTCATCCAGCTTCACCTAGATTGCTTTTCCAACAGTCTTGAAGGAGTTCTCACATATGCTGAGCACTTGTTGGCTGCTTTTCCTTCACTCTGTGGTCCGACTCATCCCAAAGCATCTCAATTGGGTTGAGGTCGGGTGATTGTGGAGGCCAGGTCATCTGATGCAGCACTCCATCCCTCTCCTTCTTGGTAAAATAGCCCTTACACAGCCTGGAGGTGTGTTGGGTCATTGTCCTATTGAAAAACAAATGATAGTCCCACTAAGCCCAAACCAGATGGGATGGCATATCACTGCAAAATGCTGTGGTAGCCATGCTGGTTTAGTGTGCCTTGAATTCTAAATAAATCAGTGTCACCAGCAAAGCACCATAACACCACCTCTTCCATGCTTTACGGTGGGAAATACACATGCTGAGATCATCCGTTCACCCGCACGTGTCTCATAAAGACACGGCGGTTGGAACCAAAAATCTCCAATTTGGACTCCAGACCAAAGGACAAATATCCACTGGTCTAATGTCCATTGCTCGTGTTTCTTGGCCCAACCAAGTCTCTTCTTCTTATTGGTGTCCTTTAGTAGTGGTTTCTTTGCAACATTTCGACCATGAAGGCCTGATTCACACGGTCTCCTCTGAACAGTTGATGTTGAGATGTGTCTGTTACTTGAACTGTGAAGCATTTATTTGGGCTGCAATTTCTGAGGCTGGTAACTCTAATGAATGTGTCCTCTGCAGCAGAGGTAACTCTGGGTCTTCCATTCCTGTGGCGGGGCTCATGAGAGCCAGTTAAGTTTCATCATAGCGCTTGGTGGTTTTTGCGACTGCACTTGAAGAAATGTTCAAAGTTCTTGAAATGTTCCGTATTGACTGACCTTCATGTCTTAAAGTAATGATGGGACTGTCGTTTCTCTTTGCTTATTTGAGCTCTTTCTTGCCATAATATGGACTTGGTCTTTTACCAAATAGGGCTATTTTCTGTATACCCCCCCCCCCCTACCTTGTCACAACACAACTGATTGGCTCAAATGCATTAAGAAGGAAATACATTCCACAAATTAACTTTTAAGAAGGCACACCTGTTAATTGAAATGCATTCCAGGTGACTACCTCATGAAGCTGGTTGAGAGAATGCCAAGAGTGTGAAAAGCTGTCATCAAGGCAAAGGGTGACTATTTGAAGAATCTCAAATATATTTTCATTTGTTTAAGACTTTTTTGGTTACTACATGATTCCATATGTGTTATTTCATAGTTTTGATGTATTCCCTATTATTCTACGATGTATAAAATAGTAAAAATAAAGAAACTGAGTAGGTGTTCTAAAACATTTGACAGGTAGTGTATAATCCTCAAAATATAATAATTGTCAGTGTTAATGGTTGTTCATTTGTGGAAAAAGCATGTAAAATACTTGACAAAAATAAAGATGCCTAACTTCATTTTTAAAACAACTGGGTCGCACTCAAATGAGATTGTTTTATAGGCCTACCTTGTTTATATATTGACTGAAAAGGCATGACAATTGCATTCACCTGGTGTGTATTCATTATCGAAACCGTTTACCGTTTAACAACCAAACAGAAGCAAACAGCAAAACTAGAGTTTCTTTTGGACAAATTCAGGTAGGTCCCGCACCGTTTTGTTCCGTTTTACGTATTGCAACAGAGTCGGCGTAATGAATACTACACTAGGAACCAAACAGAACTAAATGGAGAGGGCCTACCTGACTGTCCAATAGAAAACTAATTTGCATTGCAAAAAGTGTTCTGTTGTGTGCAGCTGCAGGCGAGTCTATTTGGCCATGAGGGGCGAGATTCTCACCCAGAAATCACATCACCTGAAAACTTAACATGGCAATTCCACCACTTTAACCAGATTTTCATTATCTCTAGCACATTACCAGTGTTTACATATGTGAAAACAGCGCATTTCTATGTTTTGTAGAAAAAAATGTAACGTTTAAAAGTTCTACCCTCCCTCTGGCTACAAACTTTTTGCAGGTTTTGAAAAATGTATATCCTTCCCTCTGATGTCACAGATAATCTATTTTTGAGAACCTTAACGATCATAGAAACACGCTGTTTTCACACATGTAGACACTGGTTTGGTGCTGGAGATAATGAATCTGAAAAGTGGCGGAATTACCCTTTAAGAACCGCCCTTCAGTCTGTGGTATGTGTGGTGGGGAAATGGCGGAGGCATTGGCAAGTATATCGGTGGTACAGCACCAGTTCAGCTGTCCAATCGGTTTGGACCTCATGAGGGATCCAGTGCCTACCTCAGTTACTGCATGAGCTGTGTTACACACTGCTGGAATGAAGAATCAAAACGGTGTCTATGTAATGTGTTGAATTTCATGTCGTCTATTTACACAAAATCTGAATAATTCCCATGCCTGATATTACTGTACATTCATTTTGTTGTAAGTTCCGTTTTAAATGTCACACTGCATTCTCTTTCTGCATTCCCCCTCATAAACATCCCCTGCCCCTTTGTTGCCAAATTAGCGACTTTGTCGCTATATTTAGCAAGTATTCAGACCCCTCTAGCGACACGTTTTCAAAAAATCGACTAGCGACAAATCTAGCGACTTTTTCTGGTGTTATTTGAGACTTTTGGAGACTGAAGTGAAAGCACGTATCATTCATACTCTTCTCAACGAGCAGCGGGTGCTGCCGTGCCCACCCCCGTCCCAAAGCACTCACAGGCGGCCCAGTCCTCGCGCAGCAGTCCCTCCCAGCTACAGTCAGAGTAGGAGATGTTCACCCCTCCGCGTCCAGACGCTGGCTGTCCCGCCCTGGCTTACATTCAGGGCGGGATGTAAATGTAAAATGTTCTTTGTCTAAAATAAATCACTGCATTTGACTCACATAGCCTCAGTCACTTACTCACCTCATCCACTGTGTGTGTGCCTCTCTGTGACATAAGCTAAACATCTAGCTGGCTACCTCATCATGTCTCAGTCTAAACGGTACACTCAAAAATACAGAAAGGAGTGGGAATCAAACCCTGAATTCAAAGGCTGGTTGAAGCCGTTTATTGGAGATGATACACGGGCATACTGCCTGTATTGTAAGGCTGATTTCTACGCCAAACTTAGTGATGTAAAAAAACACATGACAACTCAAAAGGCAAAGTCTTACAACAGTTCCACCCAAAACAAACTGCCATTTATGTTTTTTTTTTTAAATGACTGCAAAAAAGGCTGAGGCCACCATGGCATTAGCTATCACTGAACACTGTTCCATGCTGGCATGTGATCACATTGGAGAAGCATGTAGAGCTGCTTTCTAAGACTCCACTGCTGCTACCCACTTCAAAATGCACAGGACAAAGTGTACAGAAATGATTAATGGTGTTCTAGAACCATACTTTCTGAAAAAGTTGGTCGCAGATGTGGGTGACCAGCGTTTCAGCCTCCTCCTCGATGAGTCCACGGATGTAAGTGTTTCTAAGTACCTGGGGGTTGTGATAAGGTACTTTAGTGACACCAAGCAGACAATTGTATCAACATTTCTGGGGCTTGTTGAGTTGGAGGGAGGAGATGCCAAATCTATAGCCCGTGCTGTTGTGGCTTTCCTCGAGAAGTGTTGTCTTAAAAAAGAGAAACTCCTGGGGAAATGGACTGACAATGCCTTGATAAGTTGCGTCAATTCAAATCTGGTATTGGGAACAAAAGAGGTCAATACACGTCTTCTAAAATAGACTAGTATTTTAATTAATGCAAAACACTTCAATGGCAAATATGATGTTCGTATACACGGGTCCACTGAAATACCACGCAGGGCAGACAGAGAACTAAGCCATTTGTTATAGGTTCTTCTTTAAATACTCTGACAGAGATAGTTCCCGCTCCCTGCTGGCCTATCAGAGTAGAGACTGAGCGTGGTTTAGACTTACTCAGCCTATCGTTGGCGCACAGGCTGGTCCCAGCCCCTTGGCGCTTCACTGTTGCCAGGTGTTGGTTGTTTTGCAACTTGTCCAGAGAGTCAGCACTTTTGCAGTACACGTCCTTGAGCGCGGTTTAACAAAGAAGCAGTGTTTGTGTATGTGAGACACAAGCCTTATCTCCCCCTACTCCCTAACAGCTCCTCACATGAATCACAGGATGTTATGTTAAACAGTCTATATCAGTACAGCACAAACCTATTATGTTTAATCATTAATGCATTCTTTCTAAGCTAGGCATCACATATAGTTATAAGAAAAT